CCCGTTTACATTACACTTATCCTATAACCCCTGTCTTTGACACCCAACCCCAGACTCACCCCTGGAAAAGAGACTGTCTATGGTCACACCCCAGACCCACCCCTGGAAAAGAGACTGTCTATGGTCACACCCCAGACCCACCCCTGGAAAAGAGACTGTCTATGGTCACGTCACAATTTTTATCTTGTATTTCTCTTCATTTCTACTTCCAAAGTCTGACATCCTAAAAAACTTTTAATTAAAACTTACTTTGAAAATTTGCACAATCCGGGAGGAAACCTGGGAAAAAAAGCCAGGAAATGTTTTCCCTTTGGTGAGTGGGAACCCTGAACTCAGTTGGCGGATGGTGGTGTAAAGTGCAAAGACACTGTGTTTAGGCAAACGTGGGCAAAATGGGTGGGGAGTGCAGTATAATGAGGTTTGACTGTATAATTAACACTTCCAAACCTCTCGGGCATTAAGATGAAGTTTTGCTCAATACAAGTGTAACCTTTATTGTCTCAATATCTTCATCTTGCATGGTTTACAATTTCTGGATGAAGTCCCACAACTTTCAATCTCAGCAGAATTGACCGATTTACTTAGAACCTGGTGTGAACAAATTTATCCTGAACTTTCATGCACAGTAGGGCCTACATAACTTGTAATTTCAAAATGGGTACGGCTAAAAACAAAACTACTTTACACTATGAAAAGCTACCAGGAGCAAACAAGTGGTAGTGGTATACCTCCCAGTGTCTCATACAGTGTCCTACATTCTGTACGTATGTCTGCAAGACATTGTGAGGAACATTACCATTGTTTGCTTGCTTTCACTTGCATTTTTTTTAGCGAAAAGCACTATCTCTATTTTCAGCATCATGGCCACTAATGAGAAAGACGAAAAAAATAAACCCTTCATTGAAACCAGGACAAGGTAGTAAACACGTACAATAAATTGTAACAGTGAGTCTTTAAAAAAGACAGGAAGAGCATGAAAAGAAAAACAGGGAGAAAAAAATAAGGGATGCGCTTAAATATCGCTTAAAGTTGGTAAGAAACGGAACACCAAAGATGATATATAGATCCCTATTTTAATAAATCCATAACACCTCCAAAAGCAAAAACACATGTTACAGAGAAACGTACAACCACTTACTGGCAATATTCATAGCATGCTCATAGCAATATAATGCAAAGCTTGTTGCTAAATATACATAGAATCACAAACATCATTCACAAACACACATCCACTGCGCTGAAACAAAGACCATACTTTTTCAATTCAAGTGCCACTAATTTCAGTCAACCAACACTTTTACACTGTTTATTGCAGAGCCGCCATACTATTTCTTCATATCAAGCAATGTTAGAGATCCAGCTATAAAAGTCGTCCATCTGAGGGTTGTCAGTGCTCTTGCCCTCTCCAAGGGCACTGCACTCTGCAAAGTCAACTTTGAGTGGCTTCAGGTCAGCAAAATCAAAGTCCTTGTCACGTTTGCCCAAGTATGCATTGTTGTTGGCAGTGTCACCTACACCTTGCAAAGCTGCAGCTCTTGTGATTCGAAGAGTATTCCTACAGGAAAAACATCAACATATAGACCTATTAATATATATATATACAGTGGAACTTGGATTCAACGAAGTCGTCGGGCCTTGCATTCAATTTCTTTAAATCCAAGTGTTCGCAAACATGAGATTTTTTGTGTGGATAATTAGAGGCACTGAGCAAGTAATGTGTATTTGACTTTCTCAATCAAAAGTAGTTTGGTTTCAAATCGTCGCCTATCACACGAAAGGGCGTATTCCAGATTTTGGCAGTTTTGAGTTGTTACTACTAGTAGATCTCAGATCTATGTTCACACGAAACGGCGTATCCCTAGCTTTAAAATTACAGTACTAGCAGTAAAAAATCCCAAAGGGCGTACGCTAACACTCAGCGCCGCCGAATCAGACGAAACGGCGTACACAGAGTACACGCACTGTGTTGCAGCGAATCCTGCTTGTGCAAGAGTGAAAATGAGGCGGTCCTTATTGTGTTGTTAGACGGGGTGCCCACTACGGCTGGATCGGGTCGATCGCCCGACTCAATCGCCTGAAACTGAAAACAAACATGTTTGTTTTTGAGGCGATCGAGTCGGGCGATCCCATCCGTAGTGGGCACCCCGTATTATTTTTTATCTGATCTACGACATGATTTTCTATAATTTTTTAAATTACTTCAGTAGTCCCCGGCGCAGCAAACTTCAAAAGCCGGATGGCCGGACGTCAAATTCACAGGCAGCGGCTGTGGGGTTTTTTCATCCGGCCGGCCATTTGCCGGATGTTCGCCTACGGTTTGGGCCGCATTTTTTATTACATGTTACGATTGGCCGTACGGCCCAGAAACCTGACCGGTCGGCCTGTACGTGTAATAGGCCCTTTAGGCATCTTTAGTCAAGGTTACACTGTAGTTTAATTGTTGTGTAAATTATATTGATGTACGACAACTTTTTCTTTTCTCCAGTTTTCATTTAAACGATTTTAAAGTGATAAAATGCATAACATAACACATAATGCACACTGAAACAGCAGTGTTTGCTCTTTCGAATGTTGGTGGACTTAAAGAGTATTAGACTGCTGAGTTGATACTGCAAATATCCCTTGCCTTTGAAGAAGCCATGGTAGAAAAATGGCCAAGTAAAAAGACTAACAGATGCGTGTTCTTTCACACGTTACCATACATTCTGAATGCAATAAAATTAAAATTCAAACCCATTTTAAAAGCGAATGATTAGCATTTTTCTAAAGTGCAATTGTTGGATTTTACTATCATCCAGAATTAAATAAGACTAGCTAGCATTTGTTTAAGGGGGGGGGGGGGGGGGAGGGGAGGGGGGATATGATTATGATTATGATTAAAATCAATCAAATTCGACATGATCTAGTTACTCTCGGTTGCTGGCAGGCTGGTTCGGACTATCTAAAAAAAAAATCAGAAGAGGAGCCAACTGGCTATGAAGAAAATCCTGACCCTTTCAGACCCTGTGGAAATGTGTGCACAAGGACTCAAAATTTACGGAAAATATTGCCTGAAAATCCAGACCATTTTAGACATTTGGATTTCCGGATTTATCGGCAAAATCAGCACCTCTGAATAAGACAATGAGACACGGGTCACAAAAAATAAATGTATCCAAAGACAAACTGAGAAAGACCAGGCTTACATTTCTTTTTCCAGCTGCTTGCGGATGACCTTTGCCCCCTTGGACAGCGTGAGATCTTGTTTGTTACACAGAATGAGAATGGGTGGAGCATTGCTGGACACAGTTCTGTCACTTAATAACATGTACAAGTACCTGGTGAAAAAATAAACTCAGGTTACAGACCTTCAAGAAGAAAGGATACAACTTTTATTTCTACTGCTCCTACTCCTATCAAATACTTTATCCAAAAACAGTGGAACCAGCTTAGAGCAAAGGGCTTTGAAAATGAATCGACTTCTAAAAACAAAACAAAAAAAACTCTGAAAAAGAATTTTTGCCAGTCATGCATGTATAGGAAATTAGCTTGTTCACTTTCATCTGTCCTAGGTTAAAACAATAAAAACAAATCACTCTAACTTTCTCAAGTCTTTGCATGTGGGTCTAAAAGCTGGACAATCAACAAAATCTAAAAGCCCATTACTGTAGATCACAGCAAAACTAAGGTACATGCGGACAGATGAAAGTGAACAAACTATACGTGATGTATTTTCACTCCAAGTAAGTTCACAAGGAAGTGCCCATTCCTAAAATGTACATGGGGTGTTATTTAGGACAAAACACAACCCATACAAACAGTACTTGTTAATTTCACTAGTCAATAACCCATTTTATCCCCTCTGTATAAATCTCCTACAGATGACATTGTAATGTCAAACTACATTATGTACACCCCTTCCAGATCCCATTTTTCCAGGAGTCAAATAGCTTTTTAAGAGGTAACACAACTACTTTTGCTGACTCCTAGAGACCCAAAGGAATCCCTCTATCTGGAACTTGCTCCCACATTTGATAAACGAAGCCCGTGGCAAAATTTTTAAAAAATTAAAAATTTAATATTCGATTCATACACAAAATGCTTTAGATTAGAAAGACAAGTTTAGTGCTTTGACTGGCCCTTTGTCAGTAAATTAATTAACCCTGGTTACTGGGAGGTGTGGGTTCAATCTTTGTTACCTGTCAATTCATGATGGAAATTTTAATCAATTTAATTTAACATCCTAGCTTCTCTCTCGCCTAGTATTTTACATTAGGTGACCAGTACTAGGAAAAGTACTTCATGAGAAGCTTACTTGATAGTTAGTCCTTTTTAGTCACAGTGCTCTTTTGTTTTTAATGTGATTTATGAACAGTTTGACGATAAAACACGACAATCACCATTTTCAAAGTCTGGCAAAAAACTAGAACTGTTGTATCTCTCGGAAGGTGAGGCACATTCCAGGGTCAACTTTTTAATATATTTTCTGCGCACCAATCAAGTTCTTTCTTCGAGTCTCATGACTTTCTTGTGGTCAAAGAAAGTTTGTCTGAGGTTCTTTCCCTTCCTTATTATTGTCATGAGCCATGCCCTATGCGTTTTGTCAAAAATGTGCGGAGATTTCATCAATTAAAGGATTACAACCGAACATAGATTTCATCATACAACAAATATCAACCAAGCCTTACAACAAAATGCTCATGATTATTCAGTAAGAAAATGGTTGAAAAATGGAAATCATTTATCTCTAAATCAGAAAAATGGAATATGCATGCTTTGTCGCAAACCTGTTCACCATCAATTGTGCTGTGCTGATATGAATGTCTACTTATGTGTAAGCATTTTTTTAAAACGCCTATGCACATTCATGCACATGTATTTTCTGTTGAGATGAATTGTAAGGCACCCAGAGCTGTATTTTTATGGGAATGAAAGCTATAGAAATTATCTACAGCATTATTATCATTATTACTAAAGGATATGTTCTTTACGATCAAATTAATTTAAATTTATACTATTTTGAAAGACTGCTGTTTCATAAGGTACACTAAGTACTGCCAGAGTGAACATTTTTGTTGATGCTCTTACTTTAAAATGTATTTTGTCATTCTCAATAACCAATAATGGTCAAAAAATAGAAACATACCATCTATGTATGATTTCATTCACAAATTAAAATATTTTTTAAAATGAAACAATATACACGCAAATTCTGTGCAGAGATTGTGAAACAGATTGAATCGATACAGTTTTGATATTTTCTCACAGTATTTTTGAAAATATGACCTGCAACTTACTAATGATTTATTTCCCTAAACCATTTTTTTTTTTTTTTGCACCTGCCCTTTTAGTGTCATGAATGATGCCCAGGAACAAAAATTGATCAAATACTTTCAAATCTTTTCACACTGATAAAAAACTGATCATACTATCACAATAATCTCTTAGTTGCAGACATACCATTTAGAAACATTCATGCAAAGTGAGATGGAGTTGCGAATTGTACTTTCAGAAACATCTCTGCACAGGTGAGCCACCCACTTAACAAAATCAGTTTTGAGAAAATTGAAAAAAAAACCCAACTATTTTGAACTGCTCTATTCCAACACAAAAATGTACTTTTTATGCAATTTTTTTTTAGTATCTTATATTTTAGGCAATTGCAATTGTTTCTGATCCAGAAAGTAGATGTTTTTGGACTAAAGAGCCCAAAATATAATGGACATCAAAACTGACCTCTTCTGGGCTGTGCCTTGTGTATATTTTAAAAAAAATCAGACTTGGGTACGCAAAGGAAAGAAAGCCAAATGCATTACAATTTACACTAAGGTTTTTAAAAACCCTAAAGACTTGAGCGTCAGGGAAGACCGGTAGAAAAGAGCCCCCATCATTAACATCATCACTCACTCTGCAACTTCCTTGACTTCCTTCTGCAACGTTCCACTGTCTACCACAAACACGATACCTCTGTAACACGTAGAAGGAATGTACAGGTGGAGTAATCATTTTGTACACCAAAAAACAAACATCAACGAACCTGAAGGAAAGATTTTTTTCAAACAACATATCGTCCATGAGATTCACAAACCGGCTACATGCAGAAAGGCAAATTTTACAGGAGGGACAAAAAAACTGATTATTGTTAAAACGCGCAGCACAATCTTTCATATTTTTATACAAAAGGTTAAGTTATAAGTGTTGGGACCTAATACTACTTGATTTTTCTTAAATACCACAACTGATAGTTTTATTTTGCATGTAGCCGGTTATGGAATTAAAAAATATGCAGCACAAAGCAGGTGGACAGTTCTCTGCAGGTGGCCGGTTCGCGCAGGACGCTTCCCCGCACAGCCGTGACACGAGGCGGCATGTAGCCGGTTCGTCGCAGCTGTGTGCCACTGTTCGCCGTCATAATAAGTAAAGGTCGAGATCTACATGGACGACGGCGAGTTATAGGATTTGAACTAATAGATTTATCTTAATGAAAGCTGACTGGTTCAAACTGGGTTTGAATCTCATCCTGGTCGATTCATACACAAAATGCTTTAGATTAGAAAGACAAGTTTAGTGCTTTGACTGGCCCTTTGTCAGTAAATTAATTAACCCTGGTTACTGGGAGGTGTGGGTTCAATCTTTGTTACCTGTCGATTCATGACGGAAACTTTAATTAATTTAATTTAACATCCTAGCTTCTCTCTCGCCTAGTATTTTACATTAGGTGACCAGTACTAGGAGAAGTCGTCGACCCGCTGTCTGAAGGCCAATACATGTACAGTGGAACTCGGATTCAACGAGGTCGCCGGGCCTGACCTAAAACCTCGTTGAATCCAAGTGTTCGTTATAGCAAACACGAGGTTTTGTGTAGATAATTACAGGCACTGAGCAAGTAATGTTTAAAGACAAGTCGCAAGTAGTGCCTGAAATGCCTGCATATTATGATCTGTGCAAAAAAGACTGATTCATTCAAATGCACGCCTGTGTCATCTCGATTGTTTACCAAAAAAGTGCGTTGCTGTGTAGAGCCTAGCATACTGTAACTTTTGATTCCATAGGCCAGCGCACAATTCATTACGTAGATCCATGTTAAGACTAGCTTATCAGTGTAATATAATGATCAGTTGCCGGGGGAAAAAAAGACTGACGAGTTTGTATCTGCGACGTTCAAGTTCAACACCCGGACCGCTAGTGCCCCCCCCCCCATGCAGGCAGCCCATTCGACCCCGACACCCGCTTGAGGAGACACAAGCGCGTGCCAACAACGCATGTGTTGGTATGAAAAAAGGCCGCAGATTGGTCGCATGCAATCGGCTAAGTGAACAAGAGGCCTAATTCACGATGCAGGTGCAATGGATGGTTTCCAGGAATAGATACAGTTCGTTCTGGGAGAAAAATTAGCGAAGCCACGTCTGCGGGGGCTGTTCACCCTGAAGCGACCTCGTTGAATCCGAGCTCGCTGATATAAGTGCTCGTTGAATTCGGGTTATTTTTATTGATTTTAAAGAAGAAAAAAAACGGGGAATCTATCTCATCTCGTTGAATCCAAGTTCTCGTTGAATCCGAGCTCGTTAAAGCCGAGTTCCACTGTACTTGAACATGTGCAATCGTTAACGTTCAATGCCCTTTCAACACTATTAGGTTATTTAAGAGGAAAGGGGGGGTGGGGGGAGACTATATCTACCCGTGTGGAACTTTAGCTGTACTACGTGAAACATCCCAATGTGCCAGGTCATCAATTGTTTGACTAGAATTGTTGATAAGAAGACATCTCTGTGTTTACAAAAATATCAATCAAAACCCCAAACCAACACAAATTAAGTTGTTTAAAAAGCCAGGACAAGACTTTTTTTTGAGTATTTGTCTGAGAAACCTCCACTTTTGTTCGATATCCCACAAGGGCAGGGCCTTTGTATGGCAAACGTTAGTCTCGGGGCTCTAATCTGGATCGGGAGATTATGGGTTCGATTCTCGGCTGAATTATAATAACATTTAAAACTTGGTCCCTTTGCATCTTATTGTTTGGGGCGTGATTGAAAGAATATTAGTGTCGTTTGATTGCACATAGATGGGCTCATTTCTTCCTGTGCACAATCTTTCATCATTTCTCACGCTTGAGTCCCTACATTATAATAAACAATGAAACAGTGTAAGCTACATAGACGACAAAAATCACATATGAATTCAATAATTGTGAGTCTCTACTTTCCATACGAGCATTGTTCGGTGCTAGTCAGTTGACAGCATGGTAAAATGGATGGCGTTCAACTGTCATGACCTCTTACACTGTTTGGAGATGTTAGTATTTCTCCGTTTTTCATTTTCCTGGAGCTATTATAGACAGGCGTTGGGTCAGCCAGCTACCACTTCGGTTGGTTTGACCTCTTGAGAGAATTTGGTGGGGCTCACCTCCGTGACTCATCAGGATGCACCTCCAGTCCGTCACCGAAGAGTCCCCGACTCTCCTGCTGGGTTGGAAATGGTCGGAAATGCTCTTGTAATCTTGAAAGTCGTTGGTATTGCAGATATTTCATATGGTATGGATGGGGTTTGAGCGTGATGACTGTGTTTTATGGACATACTGGGCTGACACATAGGTAGGGGAGTCTTCAACCTCCTCTCGATATAATTGAGCTGGGAAACCCACGTCTGTTTGTCAGATGCTCTTTTTCTGGTATTCTTTGTTCAATTTGAACCCTGTTTCTAGCACAAAAAAGAAGCGGCTTTGCCGAAGTCAAATATCGGTTTGGTATATCCAATCATTACCGCATAAAAGTTACTTTAGCCAGCCAGGATTCCTTTCAGAAAGTTGATTATGTACGTTGCATATTCGTTCTGTCTCAGCCCACCATATCGTTCTCAGCAACGTTGTAGAACGTACAATGATGCACCGATATTTTAATCTTGTATTACAGAGAAGACGTGTCGCTTCCTAGTGCCAAAAGAACAGCTGGCACGTCCATTCAACACCAGAGTGTTTTTCATCTTCACCTAAGGATTTGATGGCTATTTCCTTGTCGGCTGTGGCTTTCAGTTTGTTTCTTCACACTTTTTATGTTTCAATCGAGCGTGTTCACGTTACATTGCCACAATAACCACGTAAACATCGCAACAATACTCTCGAGGACATAACAAAGCCAAGTTGAGCTCGTCGAAAATTTGCTTCACCAGAGGGAGCATTGCTTCATTTCTGTATACTCTGAAGTGTAGAGCCATTACACGTCAGCGAAATTTTGGAAAGGGGCCTCAAGGGACAGCTTAGTCGAGCCATACAGTAATGTAATGATAGTCGTGATAACTTGTTGAAGAATCCCTCAACGCTGAGGATACATCGGCCACACGTGCATTCATGTTTGACTGCTCGTTCATTGCCCAGTTCCTAACACATTATGTTCTAAAGTCCAATGGTTGACATAACAAAGAACTGTCAGCAAACTTTCTCCGCAAACTGTCAGCTACGTTGTTGAAAATACCTGAATGAGCTTTATTTTCTGAACCTTTGGTCTCTTCAGACCGGCTTGATTCAGATGCACAAAACACTTCTCCCGATCACATCATCTTTTTAAAAAATGAATTACAAATGTACGCTTCAGTACCCAAGTGAGTCTCCATACTGTTTTTTAAAAATCTGTCTCTTTCCTTATTACTGAATTCGTCACAATGGTATCTATTATTCTGACAAGAGTATCATGTCGGATTTGTTAAGCTTTTCTAGCTTTTGTTATTCCAGCCTTTTGGTCTCATTTCGTCTCCAGTTGTGCTAGTCAATCTGTTACTTTCGAGAAGGCAGTCCCGCACAAGGATCATATTTACCATTTTCTTCTTCCATTCCTCTTCCACCCACCTCCCTCCCGCACTTGTCCATAATCTTGTCGCAAGAATCCATTCCTTCGGCATACATCACACATGCATTCTGCCAATTTTAAGTCCATTAGTTCTCTCGTGATTGCTGTGGATCTCTAGCAATAGTATAAAGAAAAATCTCAAACCCAGGGTCATTCTTTAGAAGACCATTGAAACTTTCTGAAAATGAAATGTTCAAAACACCAGGGGGAAGGAGAGGCAATGGTGATAGCCATGGGCAATATCGTGGCTCCATGATAAGGTGAATCGTGGATAATTTGCTGGAGTGCACTTGCCATCGTCAACAGTCTTCTCCAATGTCTTTGCCAGACTCAGCTTTACCGGGTATCTTCCTCGAGATAGAGAATCCATCATGTATCCTCAGCCAGACTCATGTCAAAATATCAAGAAAGTGGTATTTGAAAAGGGCTAGCATTAATTATTATAGAAGTACAGCATTAACGTGGTTGAACTATTCTGTAAACCTGACAAAGATAGCCATTTTATATTTCTGGAGGTTTTTTTTCTTTCTTTTGCTGACTTGTTCTTGGTCCTTTCTTTACCAATCGTGAATTGTAAATATATCTCTGGCTTAATAATACTAAAACCAGATACTTGAATAGATAACTATACTGATGCGTGATAAGTGAATCGTAAGAAAATTATGTCTGCCACAATATGGTATACATCACGACTGAAACGTTTAATTTTGCGAAGAGACCAATGAATAATATCAGTTCACACCTATGGTCACAGCGTAAGATCATTCCGAGAACAAAAAGGATTGCATCAAGAATGTCAACAATGAAATAGTAACAATAAAGTGCATATTATTATTATTAAAATATTTTCTGTAATATTCATAGTATTAGTTTTGTATTACTACTTCTGCTGCTGCTGCTGTTGCTTCGAACTGCCAGTACAAGAACTACTTCTGCTGCTGCTGCCGCTGCTGCTGCTGCTGCTGATGATGGTACTACTAATGCTATTACAGCTGCTCTGCAGCAGCTAACACTAGTGTGTGCTATAATACAACAATTAATGTAGGAAAAGAAGAAGGAGAAGGAGAAGGAGAAGGAAAAGGAAAAGGAGAAGGAGAAGGAGAAGGAGAAGGAGAAGGAGAAGGAGAAGGAGAAGAAGAAGAAGAAGAAGAAGAAGAAGAAGAAGAAGAAGAAGAAGAAGAAGAGACAGAGAGCTTGTTGTAAAGGTGACGGCCCATAATGTGCCTGGAACTCTATTGATCTTTCATGTTCTTATGTCTCATCTAGATGCATAAATTAATTGACAAATCTAATCTAGTAAATCGAATCACACAAATGCTTTATACTACAAGTCACTTCATTGTTGACAATAATATTATTTATCTCGATGAACACTGATAACAGTTTACAATTCTGTCTAATTCAAGAGAAAAAAAAACCCGAACAAAATGGTCGGAGTAAGGCGCGGCGGGGAAGCATGTAGCCGGTTTTCGATGCCACGTGTCAACGCGTGTCGTGACGGTCTGGTGAAACCGATGCAGCTATGTACATGGCCAGTTTGGCGATCCCATTTTTCCATCAGCTGCAGGTGTCCATTTTGGAAAGTCTCAATTACAACATATTTCTAGTTTTTTTTCAAACTAATATTTATTGGGGACACGTATTAGGCTATTTACTATTCATTCAGCAAATAAAAAGATTTTTGAAATTTTTGCTTGTAGCCGGTTTGTGAATCCCATCGACGATATAATCATGATCTCCAGATGCTAAAGTAAGAGTAAAGCATAGAGACAATTCTAACTATGATCTGAGAGGTCATTAGGTGAGGTGAGATAAACATTCCCAAACCATGTGATTCCAATTTACAAAATGATTCTTCACAATTCCTATTTTTCAATGGAAGTAAACAACTATAATACACATCATAACGAGGTATGCATGACTGAAAGGAGGAAACCTTTCAAGTAAAAAAAGAGATCACCATAATCGCCTCCTCTGTGGCCTTAGTTATTTTCTCTAGCCCATAAAAGATTTAAGAAAATATTTCAACTTGAAACAGAAGGCTCAGCCTTAACCCTATCCATACGTCGTGTTATACTATCGTATCCATGCGACGTGGGGAACTCTGTGCCACCACTTTCGAAAGAGGAAATTTAGTCATTTATCTGATCTGTACGTCAAAATAATTTTTTTTGAAATACTGAAAGTTTCAAGGAGATCGTCGTACTAGAAGTATTCTAAAATGTGAAAAATACAACGCCGGGGTACAAAAAGACCCCAGGGCGTACGGATAGGGATAATATCTCTGTTCTTGAGCAAAATTTCCATAATAAAAGCTATGCAAATCGATAGATTTCACTATCAAAAGCTCATAACAAAGTGTACAAATACATCAAACGTGATTCCAACAATACCTGGCTAAAGACTTGAACTCATCCAGCAACTGTCCTCTGATTCTCTCATGTCCAGGTAGATCTATCACTCTCAGATTTTTCTGTCCAAGACAAGAGACTATGTCAGCTGGTTCAATTTTCAGCCTCTTTTGTGTGTGTGTGTGTGTGTGTGTGTGTGTGTGTGTGTGTGTGTTTGTGTGTGTGTGTGTGTGTG